TGGGACAGGCAAAATAGTATGTTGGTCTTAGGCTGGAGTGCAGCTCAGAGGTACATAGGGTCCCTAAGTTTGATTTCCCATTACAAGGTCGGATGAGGGCTGGTAATCAGACTAGGTGTGGTAGTCAGTATCTGTAATGATGTAATGCTAGGCTGAGATGGAGGATTGGGGGTTTGAGGCCAGCCCGGGCTATGTACATGGCAAGACTGTGTCTCCCCAAAAGTAAGTAGAAATTGGTAATAGAGTTTTGTATGTATTCGTTGTAACTATTAAGTGTTTCTTTTCTTTTCTTTTTACAAATTTTATTATTTTTTATTTTATTATTTTTTTAATTTTTATTTTTTTGTATTAGTTACAGTTTGTTAACTTTGTATCCCTGTTGTATCCCACTCCCTATTTCCCTCCCAATCCCACCTTCCCATCATCATCTCCTCCCTGCTCCTTTCTAAGTCCACTGATAAGGGAGAACCTCCTCCCCTTACATCTGATACTGGTTTATCAGGTGTCTTCAGGACTGGCTGCAAAGTCCTCCTCTGTGGCCTAGCAAGGCTGTTCCTCCCTGGCCTCTGAAAGACTCTACCTAGCAGTGTATCAAAGCAGATATTAAGACTCATAACCAAACCTCCGGCAGAATGAAGGGAATAAAAAAAGGGGGAGGGGGGCTAATACGACCTGGAGAGGACAGGAGTTCCACAAGGACCAAATATATGTGGGCACAGGGGTCTTTTCTGAGACTGTTTCTCCAAACAAGGACCGTGAATGGATGCAACCTAGAGCCCCTGCTCAGATGTAGCCCTTGGTAGCTCAGTATCCAAGTGGGTACCCTAATAAGGGGAACAGGGACTGTTTCTGACATGAACTCTATTAAGTGTTTCTAATAACATTCTTCTGTAACTAATACTTTTTACTGTTTAGTTCTTTTTGTATTTATTTCTAAAAAGCAGGAATCAGGTACTTACTCAAGAAATTTTCATTTATTTAACTGTTTTTGTGTTTTATGGACAATATTATTAAATGTTTTATTATGCCTTACTATCAGGAGTCAGTATTCCATCTCTACATAGGAGACAACAGACCAAAAGGAAATTCTGAGAAGTTATATGTAGAGATGGATTATTGAGGAAAGATGCTCCAATTCCATCCTCTTGCTCTTCTTACTCTCATCTAGAAGTGAGCAGAATCATGCTATGTTGTTTATATATTTTATCCTTTTTATGACAATAACGGTAAAGGGGAATGTGTCTTTTAGCATTTCTATTCCATTTACCTTCCTTAAGAGGATAAAGCAGTAATAAGTGATACCTGCCCTTACCTGATCTCTTTTTCAAGCTTACTGTAACACTTTTTTTACCTTCCCTTTTAATACAAGTGATTGGGCATGATATGCAGGTTTTCTTGCTTGGGTTTGTTAACTTGCTCCCCTGTGTATGTTTGTGTAACAACTCTCATACCCACTCTTGGGGGTTCTGGCCTTTACTTCAAAGTAGGTGGTAAGCCTGTCTGGACATAAAAAGGGAAACCTTGTTTTTCCGGTCTCTGGGTTCTGCTGTTGGGATGGCCCACCCTCTTTGATTTCTGCAGCATGGTTGAATCCTTCAAGGCTGTGTAGTTTTTTGGTTCATTACTAGTCATCCACATTGACCATTTGCCAATAAACTCTGACCAATAAAGTATCCTTTATTAAAAATACTTTACATTTTGTTATTGGTGATCATGATGGTAATTCTAAAATTACTTAGCACTAGAGTGAAGAAAAAATAGCTCATGGCTTTATGAATTTATTTGTCAGCTAGTATCATTCATTTGTTTTTATCTCTTTCCTAAGATGGTTCTGAGTCATTTTGTTTGTTGAACACTTGTGGCTTAACTTAGAGCATCATAAGAGTTGAGAAGTGCATAAGGCACACACTTAGTGAGTGTAACATGGGCAGTGTTCAGTGTGCTCTTTTGTAAGAGTGTAAAGCACTTTGAGTCCAGTGAAGGGTGATGAGTCAAGACCACTCTGATTCTTTCTGCAGCTGGATTGAAGGTGGACCTAGTTTCCTGCATTCCTGATAAGACTTCCCTTATCAGTTGATGCTTCTCTAATCACACACCATTGCAGATTTCTCAAAATTAAAATAGCACAAAAATACTACTATATGAATGGTGTATTAGTACAGTATTATAGTAATATAGTGTGTACCTCAGTGTCAGGTGTGCTAACTCATTGAACCTGCCTAATATTCCTATCAAGTAAGTTCGTTATTTGCATTTTACAGAAGACATATCAGACAGCTCTCAAGAGTTGGCTGAGCTAGCTCAGTCTCTGGAGCATCCCAACCCACATTATGCTATAATTAGGATGATTATCCACTTCCTTTCCCAAAGAGAGCTTCAAAACTAATCCCATTATGTGCGGAGTCCTTACAAATGATGGCTTCTAGGGGTCATTATTGGTCCTCAGGACTGTTTTTAGCCCCACGATCCCATGTTCCTCATGTTAGATATTGTTACTTCCTGTGTCTTCTTGTCTCACAGTATTATTCACTTTAGGTTTTAGCTTCTTACACTTTTCTTTCATCTTTTCCTTGGCCTAGTGTGGCGTCTGTGGTCTGTTATCCCTTCACCTTTTGTCCTATTGTACTTGCCCAAAATCAGCAATGCGCATACACGGTTCTTAAACAGTCATGTGAGGATGGAGAAAAAGCCCATTTAGACTACTTAGACTTTATGCCATCACAAGTATACAGTATTACCTGCAGTTTTAGTTGGCTTTCTCTCTTTCTTCTCTAACGTAAAGCCCCCTCTCACCTTTAGTTAAAATTTATTAAAGCAGAACAGACAGAAGACTACTATTAGCAAAGGCTTATAGAGAGCAGTTTTAATATGACAGTAGATGCAGAACTCAGCTCTTCAGGGACCAGAGTGTGAGCAGAGGCAGGGTCTTTTGGTATGTTGGGAAAGCTTGCCCTTTGAAATGAGTCTTGCTTAGTAACAAGTTTGCTGGTTAAATTTCAGATACACTTGTTTTTGTTTTTTTTTTTAAGCTGGTAGAAAGGTACTACAGTATCTGATAATCAGCTGTCAGTTGTATAAAGGAATGGAGGTCTTTTTAGAAAATTATCTATGTATGTGTACATGTGCAGCCTGCCTGCCATGCTATCACCTGTGGGCAGAGGACAGTTTGAGGGGATCATTTCTCTCCTTCTACGGTGGGTTTCAGGTATTGAATGTAAGTTGTTTACAGGTATTTTTACCTGTGGCTTGTGCTGCCTCTTTTATGTTTGGTTTCATTTTTCCCAGTCAGCATGATTGTCTTAAAGCTTGTCTTAGTTCGGGTTTCCTAAGGCTATGAAGAGGCACCAAGACCACAACAACTCTTATAAAAGAAAACATTTACTTGGGCCTGGCTTACATTTTCAGAGGTTAGTCCATTACTGTCCTGGTGGGAAGCATGATGACATGCAGGCAGATGTGGTTCTGGAGAAGTTGCTGAGAACTGCCTCTGGGTCTACAGGCAGCAGGAAGGGAATGAGACATTAGGCTTGGCGTGAGCTTTTGAGAACTCAAAGTCCACCTCCAGTGACATACTTCCTCCAACAAGGCCACCTCCTATAGTACCAATCCCTATGAATCTATTGGGTCATTTTTATTCAAACTACCACAAAGTTTATGCATCACCACATTGTTTCTTTTATTTGCTATATAGTATTCTGCTTGGGCTATTTTGTAATTTGTTTATCCATCACCCCTTATACACATTTGGTTGTATTCTTTCTAATTTGGGCTTACCAGTAAAACTATGTAACAATTGTGTACAATCCTGCAACTAGACATACACTTTCATACTTTTTGGGTAGATAGCTCCAAAAAAGACCTATTCATAGAGTAGGTATATTTAGTATTTAAGACACTGCCCAACTGTTTTCTTTAGGTATTGTATCATTTACATTCTGGAGAGCTTCATTTGCTCCATATTAGCATTACAAGATATAGTCAGTGAGTCACTGTTACTTTAATAGTAGGACTATGGGATTATGGGTCTGTATCCTATGAGTGTTTCTGCTATTGGGACATTGGTATTAAGCTACTTATCTGCAGTTCATAATCCTTGGAGAAGTGACTGTTTAGGTCTCTCCACCCCTGTGTTTTATTCTTTCAAAAATTGTTTTTATTTTTATTTTATGCACATCGGTGTTTTGCCTGCACACATTTGTGAGGGTGTCAGATTGCCTGGAACTGGAGTTACAGACCGCTTTAGCTGCCATATTGGTGCTGGAAATTGAACTTGGATTCTTTGGAAGGGAGCCAGTACTCTTAACCATTGAGCCACTCCTCCAGCCCCTGGTGTTTTATTCTTAACAGTTGTATTCTTGTAGTTTCTTACATATTCTAGGTTTAAGGGCTTTCAAATTCTTAAACATTTTATTACTTAACTATTATTTTTCTCCTTTATCGTTCCTTTTTGTGTCTTACTTGAGTTCTGTCTCATTTCATTTCTTTTAATTCTTCAAAAGAGAAAATTCTTAATTCAAAAGAGTCTCAGACTATCATCAGGTTAAGAAAGACATAGACTCCAATTATAAGTCTTGAATTGTTCTGTGTTATTATACTTCATTAACAGACTTCACGATTCTTGTGTTTTTGTGTTCTTTTTGGCTGGTTTTTAGCTTGCTAGATGTCCCTAAATTGCTGTTGATGAGGTTTCTGTTTTATCAGCAAAGGCGTTGAGGTTCCCATAGCTCCTCATGCTGAGACTGAAGGAGTCCACTGCTCCCAAGTCTCAGTTCACTCCTTGTGTTCTTGTAGGGTTCTCTTTAGGAGCCTGTTGCTAAGATTTCACTGACTTGCAGTGTATGCTGTCATGTTCAGTTCCTGAGTTTGACTGCAGTGAATATCCTCACTGGAAGCAGCATTGTTAATAACTTTCTAAAGGAATCAGAATTTTCTCTTGAAATTACATTAAATTAAGACTTTTTAATGCTTTCCTCCCCCCCCCCCCCCAATTCTTTCCAAAGGTCTGCAAACAGATTTGGCTAGGATTATTTGATGATAGATCTTCAGCAATTCCAGACTTCAGGGATCCACAAAAAGTGAAAGAATTTCTACAAGAGAAATACGAAAAGAAAAGATGGTGAGTGAATAGATTGTATTTAGCTAAATTCCTTCCTTCCTTCCTTCCTTCCTTCCTTCCTTCCTTCCTTCCTTCCTTCCTTCCTTCCTTCCTTCCTACGTTTTCTTTCTTTCTTTCTTTCTTTCTTTCTTTCTTTCTTTCTTTCTTTCTCTCTCTCTCTCTCTCTCTCTCTCTCTCTCTTTTTTCCTTCCCTCTACACTACGCTAAATCCAGAATGTCCCTTGAGCAGGACGTAGTTATAATTGTAGAGCTAGGATTCAGTTACTCCTCAGCTTTAGCTTCATGAGATAACCAGGTACAGTACTGATGAGTTAAGTGTTTCTGTAGCAGTAGTACTGAACAGTGCATATTTCTCTTCTTGCACGATTAAGGAGGTGAGAGAGCTTAGGATAGAGGGAGTGGATAACTACAAAGTAAATTGCCTCTCGTTTCCCTGAGGAACAGTGTTTTGACCCAAGAAATGATACAGGCAAAGGCGATATTGATTAGAGGGAGCTTACTGTGGTTTATGGGAAAGATACCCTTGAATAGTAAGCACATTTGCTCTGCAGTCTATATTCTTTATTTTTAAAGATTTATTTGTTTATTATGTATACAATGTTCTGTCTGCATGTACGTATGTATACAAGAAGAGGTTGCCAGATCTCATTATAAATAGTTATGAGCCACCATGTGGTTGTTGGGAATTGAACTCAGGACCTCTACAAGAAGAGCCAGTGTGCTTAAACTGTGAGCCATCTCTCCAGCCTACAGTCTGTAATCTTAACATTGTCTAAAATAGACTACTTCTTACAAGATTAGGTTAATTTAACTAGGACTTTCTTCAAATGCACTAGATACATTAGGTGAATATAGGTAAAAATGTACCAGTGAAATTTTAGCCAGGAATGAAGAAAATATTGTAAGGTCCCCAGGGTGATAGTTAAATATAGAACACAAATGATTTTTTTTTAAACAAAAAACAGTTTTTATCATTTCTGTTCTTAATTTTTTAATTAAGCATATAGATAAAACTGTTCTCCTTGGGTAACCTCAGCATAGCAATTTGCTTATGGACCAGCACTAATTTTCAACATTTCAGAAAGTGGGTTTGGGGCTGGAGATATTGCTCAGTGGTTAAGAGCACTGCTGTTCTTCCTAAAGGTCCTGAGTTCAATTCCCAGCAACCAGTGTGGCTCACAACCATCTATGAAATCTGGTGCCCTCTTCTAGTGTGCAGGTGTACGTGCAGGCAGAAAGTGGGTTTGCTGTTAGGAATTAGCTAGGTGGGATTTTAATGATGTTAGCTCTAGCTACAAAGAAAAGCAGGAATGTGAGAAAGATAGAATGTGGATGGCCCTGGTAGAGTCAAAATCGTCCTCATTTCCTGTCCTGAATTTATAACAAGAAGTTCCTCCTTCAAACTACATTCCAAAAACTTGAAAATCTCAAATAATAGTTTGTGTTATTTTTTTCTTTCCTATGAGACACAGTATTCACAAGTAAGACCAGTAGAGATACAAGCTTTTTAAAAGTGATGATGTAGCCAGAATCTGCATCCATCTGCCTCACCACACTCCTACCGTTTGATTAGAGAGCAGTGAGATGCCTCTGTGCATGGTCTGAGCTGCAGCCTGTCTGCAGCAGGGGTGGTATTGTACAGAATTTTGAGATGTTTTTGCTTAGATACATATTCTTACTTTACGTGGGGCAAATCATTTTAGCCATTAGCCTTTTGTTGTTCTGTTTGTTTTGATGAGGAAACGGTTCATTTGGCTTGTATTTCCATGTTATAGTACACCACAAGGAAGTCAGGACAGGAACTCAAGCAGGGTGGGAACCTGGAGGCAGGAGCTGATGCAGAGGCCTTGGAAGAGTGCTGCTTTACTGGCTTGCTTCTCGTGGTTTGCTCACCCTGTTTTCACATAGAACCCAGCAGCCTAGAGATGGTACCACCCACCATGGATTGAGCCTTCCTTCATCAATCACTAATTAAGAAAATGCCTTACAGTTTTGTATACAGCTGGATACTATGGAGACATTTATTTTTAATTTATTATTATTATTTATTACAATTTATTCACTTTGTATCCTGGCTGTAGACTTCTCCCTCATCTCCTCCCCATTCCAACCTCCCTCCCTCTCCCCATGTCCCTCCTCTAGTCCACTGATAGGGAAGGTCCTCCTCCCTTATCCTAGTCAACTGTTATCTGTCTTATCCTGTGATCGGAATTAGCCACACCCAAGAATTCATGTTGTCAGTGCAGTGCCAGAATATTGGAGAACAAACATGGAGTTTGTTTGATTTTTTTTTTTTTTTTCCAGATCTCATCAGATCTTGTATTTATTTGGTGGGGGTAGTTGTAGTATTTGTGGGTGTTACATGGTTGGATAATAGCTAATATACTGGCAGCTAATTCTAACCACACTACAAATGTAATTTGTTTAAACCCCATAGGAACTTTATAGGTGAAAAGATGGAAGCATGGAGTTGAAGTGATTTGGCCAAAGTTTCACAGCTATTGAGTGGTAGAGCTGGGGTATGAACTCTGTCTTTGGAATAACTGGTTTTTGCTACCTTAATGTTTTATTTCTCCCTCACCTACTTGATAATGGCGAATAAGGAAGAGGGTAGGAATACACCTAAAGTTATAGAGAATAAAAGTTGCCAAATGATCCCTTCCTTAGAGATGAGCATTGCTGATATTTGGGCATTATATTTCTGCATTCTTCTCCTTCCTTCATTTCTTTCCCTTATGTCCTGTTTGTGTGACAGAGGTAAGACTTGAAGGACCTGTTGAGTCACATGGGCACCTGTACATGCTAAAGGATAAAGGCTATGTAGAATTATATACATTTTGGCATAATGTATATGAATATTTTCTGTTGACAGATATTTGTTGATTTTGTTCCCAGTTTTTTTTTTTAATTAAGATTGCAAGAATACCATAATATGTATCTGCAAATACTTATCTAGTTACTTGCTTAGGAGAAATACTTGTGAAGTATAGACCTTACCTGTATTTTTATTAGATAGCAAACTCAGCTTGTAGATCAGAGGTAAAGAATGGAATATTTACATTTTATTTGCTTTCAGTTTTCATATTCTTTTATGACTTGCTTCTTTTGTTCATTTTAAAGAGGCATTTTCTTTTTAACGATTTCTCCATTTTAGGCCATTAATTATAAGTTTCCTTTTTGTATTTATTTCCAGATATTTATGATCTTAAGAGTTCCTTACTTTAAGTAGGGTGCATGCCTACTGTAATCCCAAGCACTCAGGCAGAGGCAGGCGGATCTCTGGGTTTGAGGCCAGCCTGAGGTCTGTAAAGTCAGTCCAGGACAGCCAAGGTGGCACAAAGAAACCCTGTCTCAAAAAAACAAACAAAAGAAAAATTCCTCACTTAAAAAATTATAGTATTAACCATTCATTGTGATGATTATCTGTAAATCCTCTGTCTTCAAAGCAGCAGTTGTTTTGGTGTGTTATTTTAGGAACTCCGTGAATAAATAATTGAAACAAATTTTGTGACTGATAGGTATTTTTCTGTAATTTTAGGTAATTAATGGCCTTAAGTTGTCGACTTTAAGTACTACCTTTTCAAGTAAGATTAATGTTGTAAAAATATTGGATAAAATCTGAATCGAATATTTCAAATACGGGTTCCTCCGCTGGGTGGTGGCACACTCCTTTAATCCCAGTATTTGGGAGGTGGAAGTAGATGTATCTCTGAGTTTGAGGCTCGGCTGGTCTACACAGCGAGTTCCAGGAGAGCCAGGACCACACCTTGTCTTGGGGAAAAAAGAGTATGTATTCCTCAAATTTTTCTTAGCAGTCTGTTTGGATTTTCACATTGTAGGTATGTTCCGCCAGAGCAAGCCAAAGTGGTGGCATCAGTTCACGCATCTATTTCGGGGTCTTCTGCCAGCAGCACGAGCAGCACCCCCGAGGTCAAGCCCCTGAAGTCTCTGCTGGGAGATTCTGCACCAGCTCTGCACTTAAATAAGGGCACACCTAGTCAGGTGAGGAGTTGCTAACTTAGACCTACGGAAGGTTGAGTGGGAAGAACCTGTAACATCATGTGACTGTAAAATCCATTAACATATTGTTTGATATGTTGTAGGAATGTGTGTTTTTGTTGGCTTTGCTGTCACTTTGTAAGGTGCTCAGTCTGTTTATTTTAGAGAGCCCTTGTCTGTTAACTGCAGGGTAAGAGCAGACTAGCCTCTGGTTCTTGAACAGAAAATAGTAGGATTCGCAGTACACCCAATTGTGTAGCATGCTTATTACCTTTGAAACGCACATGGCTTTGCAGTATACTTTACCCTAAATTGAAGAGACTGAAACCATTTGTATGCTGAAACCTAAATATTTACCTTGTTTTAGTTAAGAGGTTATGAAATGCAGTGAATTGGAGATAGCGTCATATAAAACTTAGAAGATCTGACTGAAAAAATCTTTCTAGTTAATGCATAAGTCTGTATTTTAGAAGCACCGTGAGTAAGTAATGTGCTTGTAGTCCCCAGTTGTAGGTCGCTCTCAAGGGCAGCAGCAGGAGAAGAAGCAGTTTGACCTTTTGAGTGATCTTGGCTCAGACATCTTTGCTGCTCCGGCTCCTCAGTCAACAGCTACAGCCAATTTTGCTAACTTTGCTCATTTTAACAGTCATGCAGGTATGTGTTTTCCTGATAGCCGTTGCCTGGGATATCTGTGAATCACCAAGAAACATTAGTTGTTTATTATAATTAAGTATCAGTAAGCGTAGTCCACTGAAGAATTTTGATCCCCCTGAACATTATACCATATAGACATATAGCCTTGGTACCTTTAGAGCAACTCTTTAGATTGCGTTTCATGTGGCCCAAGCTGGTTGGCCCTGAACTTGCTGTATATTAAGAATGGTTATGAGCTCCTTGTTGTCCCACTCTGCCTCCTGAGTGGTAAAATTACGGGCATATGCTTAACTGTGGTCCTCTTGAAATATTTGTTTGTTTTTTGAGGTGGTTTCTCTGTGTAGCCTAAGCTGTGCTGGAACTCATCCTGTAGACCAAGCTGTCCTTGAATTCAGAACTGTCATCCCAATTGGTGGATGTGTGAAGGTCAAAGACAACTTGCAGGAGTTAGTGCTCTCCATTTTCATCATGTGGGTCCTGGGGATTAAATGTAGTTTTACAGGCTTGGTGGCAGGTGCCTTGACCTACCGAGCCATGTCAGCAGCATAGCCTGAGAGAAGACATTAATGTGTATGGAGATACTGCTTTTTTATTATGGAAAATTACAAACAACCAAACGTAGATGGGTAATGGGACTTAAGTATTAATCTCATGTGCCTAGTACTGTTTAATTTCTCATTCCTCTCATCTGATTTTGAAATAAATTCTAGACAAATTTTGTGTCTGTGCTCCCCTTCCTGTGTATGTTTTGTCTGTCCCTGCATATCTGCACATGACTCCCTGGGTCAGCATCAGGTGTCTTCAGTCTTCCTCCACTTCCTTTTAACACAGGGTCTCTCACTGAGTTTGAGGTTAACTAGTTGCCTAGACGACCTAGCCAGTGAGCTCCAGGAATCTTGCCTCTGACCCCTATCTTACTACCTCCAAGCACTGGGGTTCAGACACACATCACCGAACATTGCTGGGGAGACCTAAATTTAGTTCCTCAAGCTTACATGGGTGCTACTTTGCTGAATGAGAACCATTGCCCCAAACTCTACAATGTTCTCTTGTTAAATATCACAGTGAGTTGTAGAATCATTCTAAATAATGGTGTTCACTATTAGTTAGTCAGTATTCAGATTTTCACTTCAGTTCACATTTGTGTTAGTTTATATAGTGTGATAAACACACACTTACTCTCTCACACAGTGTATATGATATGTTGGAATCATGTTTTTAAAAAAACATGTTCTTTGCAACTGAAATGTATTGTTAGGTTTCTACAGGTAATTTCTTCATCCCATTTTCTGTGTGATTTGATAGAGAAAATAGGTTGTCTTACGGATTTTGAGTATTCTGAACTTGTTATTTGTCCTCTAGTGGTGCCTTTAGAAGTTCTTTCTTGCATTGCTTTTAAGTTAGTAGTTGGATCTAGAGACTCCCATCAGTTGAAGGTTTGTATGTTTCTTGGCAGGGAATTGCTAGGTAAGTTACAGATTTTTGTGCGTATGTTGTAGGAGTGTGGCTAGGGCACTTAATAGGGATTAAGAGACACATAAAATTTAAAGGTTTATTTATTTCCTGTGTTTGTGTTTTGTTTGCATGTATGAATGTGTGCCACTTGTGTGTCTGCCTATGGATGTCAGAAGAGGGTGGTAGCTCCTGGGTTTCCTGAAACTGAGATACAGATGGGTGTGAATCACCGCGTGCACAATAAAATTGAACCTGGGTGCGCTGCAAGAGCATCGAGTGCTCTTAATCACTGAACCATGTCTCTCTCCCGATTTTACTTTTTAAAGGAAGGTAGAGCAGGTGGGTCTCTTGAGCTAAGGTGAGCCTTATCTACATGTCAAGTTCCAGGCCAGCTAAGGCTACATACTGAGATTTTGAGGAGGGTTAGAAATCTGCAGTTGTCAGTTGTTAAGATAAATTACAAGTTTCTTTTTCCTGTTTTAGCTTATACACCAAAATCTCCCACATAAGGAGAACCTTTCCCCTTCCCTTTCAGCTAACCTATAGAGCAAAGTGCTTCTTTATCAAACAAGGGACCAAGGTCTTATTTCCTACCCTTTTTTAAGGTTCATTTTTAGTATGTGGGTATTTTGCCTACATGCATGTCTATATACCATATATATATAGTACCTGTGGAGGCCCAAAGAGAGGGCTTTGAACCCTTTAGAACAGGAGCTATAGACAGTTGTGAACGACTCTGTGGGTGGTGGGAACTGAACCTGGGTCTTTTTGCAAGAACAACAAGTGCTCTTAACTGCTGAGCCATCTTTCCAGCCCTATGAGTTTATTGTGGTTTTATGAGTATATTATAGTTTTATCCCATTTTTAAAATGGCTTTTGGATTATCTTATTTACATATTTAAAGTTTTGGGCAGTCTAGAATTTTGATTTTGGGTTTGTATCCCTCGAAGTTACCTTTTATTGTTTCCTGAATTTTAATGAGCTTTAAATGGCTTCTAAAAATTGTAAATATCTTCATTTTTTTGGTGATTGTGTCCATATACATTTTCTCCACTTTTCTATACCGATGGTGTGACATATTTATGAACATTAGATAAACATCAGGGCATGATGGTACACATTGTATAGTCCCAGCACTTGGGAAGCTAAGGCCTGAGATCAAGAGGGAGAAGCCTGCCCAGGCTACAGAGTGGGACCCTGTTTCTCAAAACTAAAAACAAAAGCAAAACAGAAAAAGGAAGAAGTATTTTATTAATTTTATTAATGTGATTAAACCATCTTTATATCATTGTTTTGGTTGTTTAAAGAACTCTTCAGACTCCCCAAGCTGACTGTCATTTTAAAGTGGGCTACTGGACTGGAAGGTGGCTGAATAAAATGCTTGCTAACCTCATCTTAGGTTGTCAGCACACATGTAAAAGTTGGGTACAGACGTGTGCATCTTTAACTCCAGCACTGTGGCACTGAGGTGCTTCGCGTGACTCAGTGTCCAGCAGTAGATGGAGGGAGCCCTGTGGGTAACCTGCCTCAGAAGAACAAGCAGGAGAGCATCCAGCTTCTGCCTCTGTTCATGTCCAACAAGTAAATGCAGTTAAAAATCAAGGCCAGCCTGCTCTACAGAGCAAGTTCAAGCACAGCCAGGGCTTCACAGAGAAACCCTATCTTGAAAAATAAATGAATAAGTAAAATGAATTTCATAGAATGTAGCCACAGTTTTGTTTACTAAAAGGAATGTATTTAGTGCTCTGAATCAGTTTTCTTTTGTTGCTAGAGTCTTTTTCAAATAGTGCTGTAAGTAAGGCCATTCAAATGGTATTGTGCACAGATTATCACATTACAAAGCACTTTGGAGATTTCTGGGTACTATTTAGTATATACTAGTAATTGGGTTCAATACTGGTAGTATTTAAGATACGATTTTTAAATAAATTCTCTTTAAAGTGAGTTTTATTGCATTAGCATTTTCATAAAATTCTTAAATTCATTTGTCATGTCTTTTCAGTTGTAATTTTCATACTCATTAACATATGTTGTCCTTGCCATTTACAGCTCAGAATTCTGCAAATGCAGATTTTGCAAACTTTGATGCATTTGGACAGTCTAGTGGCTCGAGTAATTTTGGAGGTTTCCCCACAGCGAGTCCTTCTCCTTTTCAGCCCCAAACTACAGGTAGAGCCTCTCCAGCATTGCGCTTAGTTAAATGTTTACTTTAAAATACAAAACTCGACAAATGTAGTTTTTCAAAACTAAATTCTCTAATGACCTAATTTTAATGTAGCTCTATTTTACAAAGCTCTGGGGAAACCTGAAATCTGTTTCTCTGAACTCGTTGGTCATTGTCTGCTGTTCATCACCTATCCTTTTCCTGCACATGGTTCTGCCTTAAGATCTCTATCCACTGAGGCTGTAAACAACAGATTTTACAAAACTAAACACAGTGGTTAAGGCTTATGTTCTATCTTGGGATGGAGGAAGCTAGCTGATGGCTTCCATAGGAATGAAAATAAGTTATTTCGTGGGCAGCAAGTTTAAGACATTTTTAAATGTTTAGTCGGGTGAAAGTTTTTAATGATCACTTTAATCAAATATGGGAATAGTTCTGTGCAGGAATTGGTTTTCAAACCTTGAAAATTCTTCCATAAAGTGTACTGTTTTCAGAAATTCATTGAACCCTTATTTAGCTTTTTGGCTGAATATTTTTCTTTCAACTTTTTAACTCTGTATGTGTTGTCTTAAAGGCTTTTCTTTGAATTTTCTTTCTCCCCCCCCCCCCCCCCCCCTTTAACTTTCATCATTTCCATAATTTCTGGCTGTCCAGCATTTAAAGTACTTTCATCTAGCTGCAGTTTTGGTGAATTTACTTCAGCTTTTCCTCTCCAGGCTGCCCACAGTAAGTTCTGTTGTCCAGTAGGCATCGTGCATTAATTTATGTGCTTTTTGTGTTATTTCAGTTATAGATCATCATCATTTTTAATGATTAGCCTTCATAAATTCAATTTATTCTCACTTTTATTAAACTCAGCGTTAAAGATATAATAGTTTTTAATGAAAGTTAATTGGTTTAATAATTTGAAATAAAATTGTTCATTAAAATATCATAAGTTTAGAATTTAATTTGTTAGCTAGCTACTTGTACCCGATCACTGCCTTTAACAAACATGTCTATGTTAGTTTTAGCTTATTTTTCTTTAAAATTTGACTTTTAAGATGGAGACTTGCTGTGCTGACCAGGTAGGCATTGAACTGGCAGTCCTCTGGCCTTGGCCTCCTGAGTTAAGTCAGATTAAAGGCATGTGTCACCATGCCCAATTTTCTTACTTTTCACTTCAACAGCCAGAGCTTAATTCTTGAAAAAAAATTTATCAGTTTTTATTTGGTTTAGAATGTTAAAGAATTAACTGATGTAAGGTCTTTTGCATAGGTAATGATCCATTGTGCCTTAAAAATATTCTTTAACTTTGCTATCACCTTAATATGTGTGATACGATTTTGACAGTTTAGGAAAAAGAACTAATATCTATGTAGGATTCAAAGCATAGAGTGGAATGCATTTGAGGGCATTAGAAAAGTCTTTACGTATGGAGAATATACTTTAGAGGCAATGTTTCATTGATAGTTACATAAATTGTATTTTATGAAGCTAAAAATTACTGTCACGTATGTTTAATTTTTATACTTTGAACTACATGGTAGTAGGAATTAGTTTTACTAATTGCTGTGTAGAATTAAGTAATGGTTTCTTCAAGTGAAAAAAGTCGAGGATTTTAAAAAGTTTATCATCAATATAATCTTACACACTACTCAGAGTCTGTTGAAAAACTGACAAGATGATACTTAGTATGTAGCTGGAAGTAAGGTAATTCCACTGCTCCCAAGACCTTTCTGCATCATAAGTTCTGTTGTTTATCTCAGGCTAGATATTGTTACAGCCTTAGAAAATCAAGTTTAGTATTTTATGAAAGTCATGTGTAGATGGTTGTCCTTTAACAGTCTCTGATTTTAGAAATATACATGATTATGAGTGTACTTACAGGACAGCTATCTCAGGCAGAAATGATCAAGTAATCTACAAGCGAACATTGAGAAAAGCCTAGAAATTTCATGTTCTGTTTATTGTGTTACAGGTGGAAGTGCTGGATCAGTAAATGCTAATTTTGCTCATTTTGATAACTTCCCCAAATCCTCCAGTGCTGATTTTGGAAGCTTCAGTACATCCCAGAGTCATCAGACAGCATCAACTGTTAGTAAAGTTTCAACAAACAAAGCTGGTTTACAGACAGCAGACAAATATGCGGCACTTGCTAATTTAGACAATATCTTCAGTGCTGGGCAAGGTATCAATGTGTAAATAAAACAGATACTAATTTGTCTAGATTACATATGTTGAAATCCGAGGAAATAATGGTTTTCTCACTTGTATAGAATTGTGTGCACATTAAATGTTTTGAATAAAGGGTTCTTGGCATTTTTGCACATAAAATATCAATGAAACTGAAGACCTAGAAATTAATTTTTAAGCACTTTTGGAAAGTAGTTGAAAATAATTGTATTTTTGTCTTCAAAAACATGCTTTACTACTCTGTGTTTAGAACGGGCCAAGAATTTTCATGTACAGAGTTGACTAAAGTCCTATTTTTTAAATTTTAATCATATATTTGTTTTGAACTGTTTTTTATTAACATTCCTGCATTTTGACCCATTACTTTTTTAAATATATTTTTGTAGTAAGTTTTGGCCTTTAGTATTTACCCTATAACAGTGTGTAGATGAATGGAGGACAGTGGGGATGTGTTCTATATTGGATATTGGATTCTGAATCCTCATGTCCAACATTGTTTTTATCTCCAAACTGAGAGAGATCATAGGATTGAATTACTGGACTTAGATTTTGTGAGCTGTTGTATGTAAGGCATTTAGAGCAGCATCTAGCACAGGAAGCACTTAGTAAACCTTCCCTATTAGAATTGTCTCTGATTTTTTTTTATTTTTTTTTTTTTAATGGAAGACCCTTAAAGACTAGTACTATTAATAGATTGTGTACATTAGGTCTGTCATATAATTTATTTGTTTATATGAATGAAACCGTCTGTCCTAGAGCTCTTTGAATCCTGTCCATTTAAAGTTTAGATCAAGTCAGTCTTGGGTTTACCTGTGTTTCATGGCAGATACGGTTGATAAACTGACAATATAGTATTACAGTTTTGGTGTAACTTTTTTGTTTGTTTGCCTCTAGGAGGTGATCAAGGGAGTGGTTTTGGGACCACGGGTAAAGCTCCTGTTGGTTCTGTGGTTTCAGTTCCCAGTCATTCAAGTGCATCTTCAGACAAGTACGCAGCCCTGGCAGAGTTAGACAGCGTGTTCAGTTCTGCGGCCACTTCCAGCAATGCTTACACGTCCACAAGTAATGCTAGCAGGTACCCCTTGTCTCAGTCAGCGCTCCTGTCTGTTACCTCCTCGTTTCTCCCGTGTCTCAGTAACACAGTAAAGTGGCTCTTGTGGGGTTGTCACTTAAAAATCACTGAATAGTTTTCAAGTCTGAGGAAATTTTCTATTTAAAATGTAATTCTTGAGTATTTGCCAAAATTCTTTTATCAAATCTTAAAAATCTTACTCCTTTTCACTCTTGGATGCTAAACGTACTTCAAAGAACAAGCATTTTTAGATGGACAATTACATATCGATTGTACTCAGCAGTTAATTTGTTTAGCAGTCAGATTGCATGTCAGGAAAGTTTTTAGTTATAAACACTAAACAGGAAAAAGGAACATGTTTGCAGTCTGTTTTTAGTTTGTTTACACCACACCCCACTGCCACTGTCATCTTTCTAACTTATCACTGTCAGAACGTTTAAAAGTTAGTCTTGTGTTAAATATGGTTCATTGTGAGCTCATGGCCCTGTGTCTCTCCAGAGTGCTTAACAGGCATGTGATACCAAACCTGGAAGAACATTTTTACATTTATGGAGAATGTATAGTATTCTAGTTATTTCTATAGATTATATGTGTTCTATTAATATTATTATTTAGTTTTTTTCTCTTCGACATCTTTTCTGCAGAGAAATTTTAACAACTTGGGATGAAACAGATTGAATCCAAATAATAAAATTGGACATTATTTCGGTTTGCTTGACTAATATTGTCTATGTTGTATTTTAATAATAATAATAATAACAACGAGATGGCCTTAAGCCTAGAAACCTAGATGAATTCCATGTGATAAATGGATTATAGGCATTGCATGGTGATATATTCGTGGTTGCAGGTGTGATCTGTGGGGTATGAGTTACCTAAGACCCTTTTGAAGGCTTTGTTAGGTCAGACCTCTTTTCCATAATAATTCTGAGATGCTAACTTGATTTTTCAGTGATTGACATTTGTTTTCGTGGTACACAAAATAAAATAAGGCAGGAAAACTTTGCTGGAATCCTGAGCAGAAATAAGGTAGTGTCATCAGATTGTATCAGAGTAGATGTTGTGTTTCTACATAACACACTGTTTTATTTCTGATTTAAAAAAAAAAAAAAATGTGGTCTCCTTTTGTGGCCACTAGTGTCTTACTTAGTGTTTCCATTGCTCTGAAGAGACACTATGACCGAGGCAACTCTTACCAAAGAAAAATTTAACTGGGCCTGGGCTTACAGTTTCAGAGGGTTAGTTCATTATCATGGTGGAGAGCATGGCGGCGTCCAGGCAGACATAGCGCTTGAAGGAGCTGAGAGTGGTACTTCTTGATCTGAGGGCATCAGAAGACTGTGTGCCACACTGGGCATAGCTTGATCATGAGCCCTCAAAGCCTGTCCCCACAGTGGCACACTTCATCCAGTAAGGCTGCGCCTCCTCATATTGCCATTCCCAAAGGGCCAAGCATTCAAGCACAAGAGTCTGGGAGCTGTACCTGTTCACACTACTGTAGCTGGTGTTGGACTTGTGATTCCTAACTCATCCTCTTGTTGCATATGCTGCCATTTCCCTCTTCACCTTACAAATCGTGTTGATTGTTGGCAAAAAATTACAATATTTTCAACTTTATTGAATGTTTTCCATTAAATGTGTATTCTGCATGTTAAAGTGGTCTGTATCTAGTTTGGGTGCATAGTAAAACATAGTCTTTTTGAAAGAAATTTATGGTTGTTGAGTTTTTTGACAAAACAGCTTCTCATTTTTTGGCAGTTTGAATTTGAGTATTTGTCAGACATTTTTACAAAAAAATATAACCACTGTAAAAAGGATATCTTCTGATATGGTTCAAGCTCAGGTAGTCGTGCTTGCCCAGCATGCACAAAGCTCTGGATTTGATCCCGGCATCATAGATGGGTGCAGAAGCGCATAACTTTATTAACAGCCCCTGGAAGTAGAGGTTCAAGGACACCATGTATAACAAGTTGTAGGCTAGGTTGTGCTATATGAAACCTTGTCTTAAAAAAGAAATAAAACTTTTTGTTACGCTTGGCTTTCAGAAAATTTGTATATTCTACCATAAACCTGATAGCTTTCCAATAAATACTCTTGGTGAGATGATTTATGATTTGAATAAGTATTTTCATTTTGTTAAATAACCAATATGATAGAAAATTGCTCAAACAGTTATTGAAAGTTGAACTTTGGAGGGTGGAAAAAGTTCATTAGTAGGTTTCAAGTTCTTTATTTCAGCTGACCTTTAAGAAGCTGCCAGTTTAGGTAGGATATCAAAGAAAATGAGATACTTTTTGTTTTTGTTCAGGACAGGGTTTCTCTGTGTAGCCTGGCTGTCCTGGACTCCCTCTGTAGACCAGGCTGGCCTCGAACTCACAGAGATCTGCTTGCCTTTGCCTTCCAGAGTGCTGGGATTGCAGGCATGCGCCACTACCCCTGGCGGAAGTACTTTTGATTGTTAATCTGTATGTATATAAGGCTACATGTTCATCCTGCACTTAAACAAATGGTAATATTGTACATTTGTTTTCTGTTCAGTCAGTCATTATGTGGATTAGTAGAAAAATAGAACTTTTTTCTTTGAAAATACAGTTATTGCTAAAAATACTTATGCTGTCCTGTATTGGAATCCAATCTTAGATATTTAATTTTTAATTTCTATATACAGCTGATTGATAAAAATAGCACATATAAACAATTTATTATTGGAATTTCAGTAATTTTTATAATGTAAACTCATCTATATTACTGTTGAGAACTGCAGTAATGTATAGAATAGTTAATTTTTAAAATTTAATTATTATTTTTTAATGTGGTAGGTAAATGGTCTTGTCTCTGTTAAATGCTGACTTGGTATTCTCTCCAGCAGTGTCTTTGGAACAGTGCCTGTGGGTGCTTCTGCTCAGACACAACCAGCTTCAAGTGGGCCTGCTCCATTTGGGGGTATGTGCTGTTTATAGAGAACCTGAATATGTTGTATGACATTCTTTTTAGGGGTACTGGAAGACAGAAAGAGAGCAATATTTTATTATTGAAACGTTCACATGTCTGTCTTCAAAAATGTAGTGAGGAAAATGTTAAAATCTTGAACATTAACTATTAGGAATTTATAGCATTTTTATACTTCTTTAAAAGCTACGCCTTCTACGAATCCATTTGTTGCTGCTACGGGTCCTTCTGCGGCATCGTCTACAAACCCTTTTCAGACCAACGCCAGAGGAGCAACAGGTAAGGAGAGCAGGCAGACAGGCACCCAGTGACCTCAGGGTGGGAGGAAAGCAACTAAACACAAAGCCTCCTTCTTATCAAATAGTAGTGTAGGAGGACTGGAAGGGGCTACAGACGCCTGCTGGGTGTGCTTGCCTGTGCCTCTCACCCTGGTGCTTGGAAGCAGAGGCAGGGTAATGAGTGTGAGGCCAGCCTGAGTCACATAGAGAGACCTTTCTAAAACAACAAGACAAATAATAGTGGGGGTTTATAAAATTTAGGAATTTATCAGTTACAGGGGACCTGAGAAATTATGTTTCAGTCCTCCTGATCGAAACTTTGGTTTTTCAGGTATGGAAACCAATAAGGGCAGAACTTGATTGACAGTAGTTTGGCTTACTTGGCTGTAATTCAATATTAACAAAACAATTTATAATAGCCACATGCAATTATCGGATGAATGAACTGTATTATACTTCTTTATTATTTATAATAATACTTTATTATTATAAAGTGTGTGTGTGTGTATATATATATATATATATATATGTAATTGTAATTAAATATCTCCATTACCTCTTTTTCAGGGTCGCTATTTTTTGTTTCTTTGGTTTTCGTTTTTGTGATTGCTAGGATCAAACCCTGGGTCCTCCTGCATCCTAGGCATGTCCTCTACCAGCCAACTACATCCCTAATCATTTTGGAGTTCAATATTTGAACTCCAAATATTTTACTATTCACTACTTTCTAAAAATTAATTCTGTTTATCTTTCCATCTTTTTTTTTTATACTTGTTTCCCACACAAGCCAGTCACATCATTTTCATTGCATTTCTTCCAGTTTTGTTTTACTGCCATTGCCTAGCATGGCATGCCAGCTGGTACAGGTGGTAAAACCAACTATCCAGTCAGTTTAGACTTCATACGCTTCATTTCTGTGTTTCAGAGTAATGTTGGAACCAGATCTTCCACTCCAATTATAGGAAGCATTGATATGAAATTTTAAGAGTATATCATTATAGGCTAGACTGTGCTGGTGCACGCCTTTAATCGCAGTGCTTTTGAGGCAGAGGCAGGAAGATCTCTGTAAGTTTGAGGCCAGCCTGGTATACAGAGTGATATCCAGGACAACCTCAGCTACTCAGAGAAACCCTATTTTAAAACACCTCGCTTAAACCCCCCCCCCAAAAAAAAAAAGTATCATTATAATATACCTAAGTCATTGAGAATTAGTAATTATGATAAATGTCTTTATTATTGGCAAGACTTAAGAATTATAACAGTAAGAATTCTGTGGTGGTGTTTGTTAACCTAACCATGAGAGGCAGAAGAGGATTGAAATTGGAGGCAAGTCTAAACTACTACGAGGAGAATTAAAAGAATTAAAAACTGTGATACCAAAAGTCTGACTAAATAAGTATTATTTTCCATTACATAAACACTTTAGTTATAATTTAAGTAAGTATTTGAAATTTCTGTTAGGTTGTCTGTCTGCATCTATCTATCTGCCTATTTATGTATCCTCCTACCTACCTATCTACTTACCTGTCTGTCTGTCTGTCTGTCCGGTGGTTTCTCTGTGTAACAGAGGCCCTGGCTGTCCTGTACTCACTCTGTACATGAGGTTGGCCTCAAACTCACAGAGATCTACCTGCCTGCCTCTGTCTCCGGAGTGCTGCAATTATAGGTGTGTACCACCATGCCCTTCTCAGATTTAATTTAAAAAAAAAAAAATTGTTTATGGGCTGCTGGTGTGGCTAAGTGTGTAGACATGCTTCTTGCTAATCCCTCACTGGAGCTCGCATTATGGAAAGAGAACCAACTGTCCTAATGTGTGCTTGCTGTGTTAAAATTACTGCAGCGCATTGCTCAGTTTATAGAGATAACCAAAGAACTTTGCTCCAGCGGAGTGCTGAGCTTACTTCTGGTGTGAGCAGGGCTCCCTAGGCAGCCGAGCTGTTGGGAGGTTACCCTGTGTGTTTGTGCTTTACTGTGTACGTCAGAGTTAAGGGCTCCCCCTCCACCCCTTTATTTTCTGCTTTTGAGTATGCTACATAGAATATAATACTATGTATACAATCTACAACTGATACAAGCAATATTTAATGTTGAAGTTTATCAGAAAGAAAATCTCTACAAATTTTTATTTCAAGTTTTTTAATAAAATTTTGTTAATTTTATTTCAAATTAATTTTGTGTGTGTGTTTGTTGTTATTTGTTTTTTGAGATAAGGTTTCTCTGTGGAGTCCTGGCTGTCCTGAAACTTGGTGTTATAAACCAGGCTGACTTGAACTCACAGAAATCTTCCTGCTATTTTAAAGTAATTTTTGCACTCAAAGGTGTTTTGAATATATCACATTGGATTTCTTTCTTAGCTCATTACTGAACTAAGTTAAAACAAATGTTGAAACCGCAGCACTACCTGCAGTAACAGATGCCCTGGTCCGTAGGAGTTTTCAGTCCTCTGCAGCACTTGCGCTCCTTGGGGCTCGTTCTTCCCTTCTTCAGATAGCTTTGCAAGAACAGGGTGACAGTTCTGTGCTCTTGACAATGAAAAAAAAAAGAGTTTCAACCTAGGAGTCCACTCTGTTTCGGACTAAAGTATGGTGGTGGTTAATACTGATTAACACTCTGCTGACTGAAAAATTTTTAAATATTTTTTTATTATAGAAAAACTGGGCTGGGGGTGGAGAATTGTGAATGGCCGTAGCACTTGCGTGGAGGCCAGAAAACCACTTTGGGGATGAGTTCTACTGTGGGATCTAGGGACCTAACCCAGGCTTCAGGCTTATGCAGCTAGCACGTTTTATCTGTCATATTGCTGGCCTTGAGAAGTTTTTACAGTGGTAGTCAATGGAATTGCTCTGTGCCTCAATAGGGCATAGGGGAAATACTGAGACAGTACAGCTTAACAGTTTTTTGGTGCAAGACTAGTTGAAGCCTTCAGATTTCTAAGAAGAAAGTGAAATGGACTGACTAAACTTTTTATCACAGAACTCTTTTCCTTGTTTTTTTTTTTCTTTTTTTAACTTTTAAACCTTTTTAAAATGTCTTAAACTTTCTTTTTACTTTGAAAGTAAAAGTGTGTGCACATGCACACATGCTCACACAGTTATGTCCATGAAGTGAGAGGCAGCCCTGGCTATCAACCTCAGGAAGGCCGTCTACCTCCCTTGGGACAGTGTCTCTCATTGGCCTGGAGCTCACCAATTAGCTAGTTGACCTGTCTGGAACCACAGGTCTGTGCTACCATATCTGATATTTCCACATGGACTTTTGTATGAAATTTTAGCCAAAAGGCAGAGAAGTGATTACATGGGTTCTGGATATTGAACTCAGGTCTCCTTGTTTATAGGAACATTGAAATTGAACCATCCTTCCAGCCCCTTCTCAATATTTTGCTGAATTCAGAGTACAATATAAAATCTGCTTAAATTGGCAAGAAAAATGTTTCTTGCTCTCCATATGGTACATTAACTCGTTGTTACACTTAATATTTTTAGCAGCTTTGTGACGTGCCTAGGTCCTGTTTTCTCTCTATGCTTCCATCCTCCCCTGTGCAATGAGGAGACTGCAGCTTAGATTAGTTAAAACATCATAGAGCTAGAAAGCAGCAGAACAAAGACTCAGAGTCTTCTCTTCCATCACCTTGGTCTAAACGCATAGAAATATATTTAGAAATAACCCTGATACAAACTTACCACCAGAGCAGAGTTTTAGAATTAGTTAGCCAAGTGTCTTTTCTGTGCCCTCCTGTACACCAGCGGAGTGTGCATAGGGCGCACTTCTCTAGGCCTTTGGCCAGGGTGCTTTAAGTAGACTAAGTTACTAGACTCACGTTCTAGTTTTGTATGTTTTATGATTTTTCTAAATTAATTTTAGATACTTCTAGTTTGTAAAGAAAATTCTGGTACTGTTCAGGTGCTCTGTTCAAGACTTGGAGTTTCAGTTGGTAAAACTGAAAAACATTTTTTGACATGTGTCATGATGCTTACTCTGTGTGTGTGTGTAGATAAGGTTTGATGTAGCCCACACTGGCCCTGAATTTACTTTGTAGCTGAAGCTGGCCTTGAAATACTGATATTCCTGCCTTTTCATCTAAACTGTTGTCAGGATTTCAAGTGTATACCCCCATACCTGGCTCTTACTGTACCATTTTTAGGTTATAATTGTATCTTCACATGATAAAACAAAGCTAAGATTAATTTTGTTTTGAGACAGAGTCTCACTTTTCAGGCCTGGTAGGTTTGGAATTCGATATACAGATAGGGCTGGCCTCAAATTCACAGAAATAATCCCCTTCCCATGCTGGCATTTAAAGTATGGGCTGCCATGCCCAGCTACAAAGGATTTTTAAGAATGGATTTCATCAGTGTTTTTTTCACTTGGTATTTGTTGTTCTAAACTGTTAAAAGTGACATATTACAATATCATGAATGTAACTGAAACGAGATCTCATTTTTTTGGGGTGTGTTTCTATCATATATTTCTGTGACACCCAGGGGACAACATACATTCAAAGTCTCGAGACCTTAATGAAACCAGTTAACTTTTACTTTAGCAGTAGCTGTGTATAACTAATTGACCTCGGTCTTTTTATGGCTTCCCATAAGGCCTTTCTGGAGCAATGCATTCTCAAGTGTTCCCTCACGCTCATTTTGGTAGGTGGTCACACCTAGATTTGTGTGGCAGTTTGTCTAGCTGCTTGTGGAAGCTTCTGCTGGTGTTCTGGATCCTTGCATGTGGAATTCAGTTATTTCCATGTTTTAATATGGAGTGGGCATGGATGTGTGCATCAAGGTCATGTTGTATTTAAAGTAACATGCAAATCCTCTGTAATGATTGTGTTTAATACCAAAAAGCATTATTGCTTACCTCCATGGTCACAGGAGAATGTTAGTAGCTGTTTTGATTATTTTTCGTATGTTTAAGTTCATAGTACTTTAAGCGATAACTTTTTGATGTACAAAATCATTTTCCTGCTTCTTCTCATAGAGTTTGGTTTTGCCTCATTGTCCAAGCTTTGCATTGAGTGCTTTAAGCCGTGACTTGTCAGTTGCATTCGTGCATTTTGTCTGCAGTGAAACCCTCCTGTGTCCCCTGCAATGTGCTCAGACTTATTTTCACTTGCTTCCCAATAGCCTGTTCTTTCTTTCTTTTCTTTTTTTCCCAGTCCTCATCAATAGTAAAGGAATCAAAACAAAAACCCAATGACCTTCTGTAGTCTGACTAGGTTCCGTGAGCAAATTTGCATTGTCATAAATAGTAGGATTGCTGTGGGTAATGTAGCACTTTCAGTTTGTTTGTTTTTAGATAAAAACATGGAGTACTTTTAATACTTAATTTCTTTGCCTTGAACCAGTCATCAGTTTGGCAAAATTTTTGCAATCAGGAAATTCAACAAATTGATAGGCTTTTACAGCATTTCACTGCAGCCTTAACTATAGTATACAGTTAGAGCAACATTACTGTCACTTAGTTCACTGAGTGCCTTCCTAGAGCAAGTGTATTATCGGAAGGTGCTGCTTGAAGTACTGCTACCAACAGCTCACAGGATTTGCTATTGCAAGTCTCTAAAGTGAAAACTTGTTCATAAATGTGATCATTTATGTAAATAGGGGTGATGTAGGCATAATCACATAAACGTAGAGCACTCAGTTAGTGCTCTACCCATCAAGCACAGCAAGCCAAAGGAGGACCAAGTAACAATGGACATGGGACCTGATAGGCTTCATCTCTTCTAAAAAATGCCTTTTGCACTCTTTTTCAGTCTTTGTGCATTTACACCAATTTCTGTAGCTCAGTGTCAGATATCCTCCATTCTCTTGCAGTTGTAAAATGGGGTATAGACGTAATGTTTACATGTGTTTGTGCATATATAAAAATATATTTATATGTCTATATATGTATATATCTGTAAATATATACAATCACAATTAGTTAATGGGAACTTAATATGTTCTTATGTTTGCATTAGTGCTTTAAATGAAATTAAAGAATTCTTTCTTTGTCTTTTACTCTAGTTATAAAACTATAGTTTTAAATATTTTGCCTTTTATGCTAGCTTGCCCTATAAATTCTATAATTTTTAGAGTGAGCTCTTTTGAAGAGGTCTTAAAATTTCTCTTCAGAAAAATGAACCTTACATGATAGCAGATACTTAATCATTACAGTTTGATTGTTTTTAATTGGATATAGGAAAACAGCCTCAAACCTAGGACATATTCTGCTATGTATAGAACAATCTGACTGGCTTCTGAAAGCAGGCTGTTTGACTTTATGTAGTTACTTAGGGAAGATTTCTTGGGATTTCAAATGTAGTTTCTCTCTGGACATTACATTTCAGAACAAAACTTCCCAGGTTATATTACACTGATCATAGACAGTGCCTAATCTGTACTCATTCTGTCAGGGTTTGGGGTTTCAGGCGCCTGTAATGTTCATCTGAGTGTTTTTGAGGTAAGTAAGTGTGTGTATTCCACAGTGTTGATTGTTTTGAGTGACTAACCCCACCCTCCCTTTCTTCTGTCAGCGGCAACCTTTGGCACTGCATCCATGAGTATGCCGGCAGGGTTCGGCACTCCTGCCCAGTACAGCCTCCCCACCAGCTTTAGCGGCAGTTTCCAGCAGCCTGCCTTCCCAGCCCAAGCAGCTTTCCCCCAGCAGACAGCCTTCTCTCAACAGCCCAATGGTAAGCTCAGACATTGGGCTAGCTGCGTGACTGCAGGACCCTTTACATACTGTGATATTAAGTGCTTGAGACAAAGATTATCAGAGCCTTTGGCATTTGGGCCTTAAGATGATTGTGATTTTATAAATTTTCGTGACCATATGTAAGGAGACATCAGTGACCACAAAACTCTTCTCAGAATCACCCACGCTTGTCTTAGAAGTCCACCCTGTGTGTTCTCATATATATAGTCCTGTAGGCCTAGAGTATTAGTTTTGTCTTTCATTTTCATGACAAATGGTTGCTGGTATGGCTTTTTGGGGTAGGAGTGTGTATTTTGTTCAGTGCTCTATAAAGAGTTGATGGCGCTGTACTTTCAGGCCGAAAGAGTCACTCAGCCTTTCTTTTTACCTAATTTCTTACTTGCTGAACTTTGAAATCCATACATTTCCAGAATGTTCATGGATCACATACATCCAGTAGTTAGGAAATACAGTGTGTAGAGTAGTCATAAATGATGACGTTTCATGAGAAATACAGTGGTGTTATGTAGAGTCCATTGTATTGTCCAAATTGACCCCTGCCAAATATTCACACAGTTGTCCGTTAAATCCTTGAAGGTCAATGACCTACTCTGGGTGGAAGTAGATTATTTCATAGCTCTGGGGCTCTTAATACATGCCAGAGGATGTTTGTTTCTGGTGTCTGAAAAGACATGAGAGCTAATGTTTTAATCTTGCTCTTTATTTTGCCACCTTAGTCTTAATGAAACAAAGTGTATTTTATAACTGTGGTTCTCTCTGTTTCTCTCTCTCTCTCAACAAGGTGCAGGTTTTGCCACATTTGGACAAACAAAACCAGTGGTAACCCCTTTTGGTCAAGTTGCAGCTGCTGGAGTGTCTAGTAATCCTTTTATGGTAAGTGAATTTTAGAATCTTAAAGGAGGACTTAGGTCTTATTTTTAAATGAGGGAAAACAGAGTGTGACTAGAACTATGACGCCCTGCATACAACTTAGTGTTCTTTTAATATGATGTTGTAGACTATGCAGGGCCCAGACAAGACATTTCAGACGTTAGTTTCAGATGAAAGTGCTGATAGCAGAGTAGCTATTTCATGATGTGAAATGCATGCGTTCTTGTCAGAATTTTACTTGGGAAACCGTTGGATTTAGGGGAAGGAGTCTTAGGAATGAGATTTTTTTAATTTGAACTTACAAGTACCTCCCTAAGTGCCAGGTTCTCTCTTAGGCGTATTCAAGCACTGTATAAACAAATGTAGATGAAAAGCACAGTACAGTCTAAATAACATGTAGTAAGTAGTTCTGTAGTTTGTTGAAAACAATGATAAATAAATGTTGTCAGTAAGTTCTTAAGAGTTTGAAGTTATAAATAAAGTACAACTTAATGCTTTCATCTCAAACAAATATCATTTCTGTTTGTTTATTTTGTTCTTGTGTTTTTTTCTGATAGACTGGTGCACCAACAGGACAATTTCCAACAGGAAGCTCATCAACCAATCCTTTCTTATAGCCTTATAGAGACACTATACTGGAACGAACTTTTATGTGATCATATTACATCTCTCCGCCTCTTGCACTGTTGTCTTGTTTCACTGATCTTAGCTTTAAACATGAGAGAAGTCTTTAAAAAAGCCTGCATTGTGTATTAAACACCAGGTAATATGTGCAAAACAGAGGGCTCAGCAACAACTTTTTACTTGCGAATTGGCAGAAAAGGTAGCGGCATCATGTACGTTAAAAATTGGCTAATGTTAAGTTATTGCAGATCCCACATTCATTATGCTGCAGTACTGTACATATTTTTCTTAGAAATTAGCTATTTGTGCATATCAGTATTTGTAACTTTAACACATTGTTATGTGAGAAATGTTACTGGGGAAATAGATCAGCCACTTTTAAGGTGCTGTCATATATCTTGGAATGAATGATTAAAATCATTTGAAGCATTGCTTCTGGAAAGTTCAAAGTCAAAATCAGAAGGTTTTATTCATTCTTGAATTTTCCCTTCTAAAGAGCTCTTCTATTTATTCACGGCTAAATTCTTTAAAGATGTGGAGACACCTGTCTGCGGAATAAAGCTGATCATGTTTTGCTACAGTTTGCAGGTGAACAAAATAAATATTAGAAAATATGCTATTGTTTTTGTGTTCTTGCTGCAATGCCTTTACCAAAGTGGCCTTAAATAATGAGTAGTGAGTTGAGAACATCTTGAATTCTTAAAGACTTCTAGTGACTAACTTTTTTAAAAAAGGCCATGTAGAAAATTTATTAAAACTACTAGGACTGCTATATTCAGGAATGTGACAGTGGAAAAGCATTTAAATGTAGCTTATCAGATTCACCACGCTACTTCTCATTTCTCTGCAACTTCTTAATTTTGTGAAATTTGTAAATATGGAGAATTTGCATGTATGTGTATTTACAAATATTTTTTAAAGATCTTGAATTCTCAAGACTGCAAATGGCCTATTTTAACTATTTTTTTTCTCCATTTTAATTGTCTTTGAATGTATTGGAAGCAGACGTGCATTGACTGTGACATGATTGCACCTGAGGTTTTTTTCCCCCTCATTTTCTAGACAGACTAATATTATCTATAGAACATTTGTTTGTGTTTGTTTTGGAGATAAACAGGAACCCATTGTTACCTTACAGTGATGAAATAATTTGTGTAAAAAGGTAGCAATACTAAGTTTAGTTTTATCTTTTTGTTAATATTCAAATGAACTTGTTTAAATATTTATATGTAGCAGTGCCTCATTCATCCCAAGATAATCTGGCACTCTCATCAAAACCAAACACAACTAAGAGAACTGAAACGATTAAAAAAAAAAAATGCTTTGAACAATACCCCTAAGTCATGAATTCTATATGTAGAACATACGTGTTTCTCGGAATGTGAGAGTTTAATAATTTGATAATTTGATTTATTAATCCATAGCCTATTAGTGTTGCTGAAAGGAAGGAGTCCAGAACAGTGATGGAGATCACACACTGCCAAAGGCCGTAGGGACAGCCCAGTCTAGAGGACAGCCATATTAGTAATCTGGTCATGACTCTGTGCCATCACAATAGTATGCAATGCCTGTATGGAAGGAAATTAACTTTTTTAAAGCTTTGTTTTTAGGCAATGTAAGCATCATTTTCCCCACATTTTATTTATATTGGATGCATTTTTTGCAGTGATGGCTATTACTTCATGCTTTAAAGTCTGGGTGTTTACTTGAAGTGCTGCAGTCAGGTGCCCTCCTCAGCGGAGGTGTGGTTTCTATGTACTTGACAAGTGATAAGCCTAAGACTTGGTCCTTTCTGAACAACCTGCCACTTAGAATCCAGTTACTGTTGCTCAGGCTCAGCTGCACTCTGGGCATAGTCTTGAACTCTTTGTACATTTGGGGGACGTCATCTGTTTTCATGGAAGGAGAACTTAAATGTCTTTAAACTTCTGTTTGAGATTGTATTAGATTCAAATCAATTCTATGTACAAGTTATACTATTACATAGGCCATTACCCAAATAACCCAACCGGCTTTCCATCTATTAAGTAAATTAAACAGTTGTTATCAAAATAGTTTTAAAGACTATTTTTTCTAGATTTTGAGACATGTAATTAAATGGGGGACCAGTTTTGACTCTCAGTAAGGGCCTGTATTCAAAATACAACGTACTTAGGCTCAGAATAGTTCCAGTGTTAAAGTCAGTTTTCTCATGACCTTTGTTTTAGGCTTAAACTTGGGTTTCCTCTTAGTTTTAGGCACCGGTTGTCCATTTGAAGGGCAGTGCACTTGCAGCACGTTTCCTTTTCTGTCTTTGAGCAGAAATGAATTTCCGTTTTAGGGTGGCAAAAACTGTGTTGATAAATTTTAAAACATTTGTTATTTTTATGACACAAGGAAGGTTTTACTTTAGATTTTGAAGATACAAGTTAGGTTTTCATTTTCTTCCTAAAAGCATTTGTTTTATAAATTAAATACCCTTTGTATGGGAGGTACTTGGGACTGTCCCTGTCAGTTGCAAGGTCAGAGAGTAACTGGCTCCTTACTGTCACTGTGCCAGCATTTATGAAACATGCTGTTTTTATGTTCAGAGTTTTAATAACTGCTGAAGATCCCCCAAAGAGCTTTTGTTTATGAAACTTGAGTCTTTCATAATTAGTATATTACATATAAATATAGAGGATTTTAAAAACATCTTTTAAATATGATTGCAGTAGTCCTATTACTTGTTAACATAGATATTTGATGTAAAATAACGTTTCCAGAATGAAAACACTTTTATGTTTTGCCTACCTTTTCAATATTGGAGTTAATAGAAACTGGGATATTCATACTGTTTGCATTCAGACTCGATGTCACACAGCAGGAAGGCACTGGAAACTTCATTGTGCTCTTGTGAAATCCAATGGTGAGAAAGTCACACACTCCCTTACAATCAGTATAAAATCTGTTTGACCCGATGCAGCTCTTCAAGGTCCTCAGATAAGCTTTTGAGAACTCGGTCCTTTTTGTGTGCTTCTGGTCTGTTTACCTGTGGAGAAACCTTGCTCCTTCTGAACTTAAGGGGTTGTTTGTTTCCTTTCATGAAATTCCAGTTGAATTCATTGTTAATTTTTGTAAGGTAGTAATGGTGATATTGTGGGTGTGGTGTTTCCTACACCCTTTGAGTTTATCAGGCACTCACTGTGTGGTTTTCTTCTATCAGCTCATGTAATGAAATGTACAAGGCATAGAACAGGTGAGCTGGTAACAGCTTTTATTCTTGGGAGCAAGTACTGTTGGATTAAATTGTACTTTGATATTTAGGTGTGACTAGATTCTCTTAATTTCTTTATTTTGAAATTTCAAGTAACTTCAAATATTTCTCAAAAACACTTAAATCATTTAACATCAATTCTTTTATACTTTGGTGAAATAAGTACTGTTTGCTCTGTAGAGTCTGTTTTGTTTGTTGGTTTTTTTTTTTTTTTTTTTTTTTTTTTTATGATGACAGAGTCTCTACATAGCCCTGGCTATCCTAGAACTCACTCTGTAGATCAGGCTGGCCTCAGACTCACATAGATCCACCCACCACCCCGAGTGCTGAGATTAAAGGTTGTCCATCACCACACCTATCAATCCCCCTGAGAGTCTTAGTAAGCTGTAGAGCAGTGGAGTGAGTGATGGAACAGCTTTGTACCTCAAGTTGACAGTGGCTCATTGTGTGGGACACTACATATGTATTTACATAGCCTAAAAGGAAATTAAAAATTTGTATGAATTGGGTTTATTGTATTGAACTCATCCTCAGCCAGTTGAAATTTGTGTATTTTAAAGTAGTGCTATTAATTTGCTTTTTGTGTGGTTGTATTTGAACAAGTGAAGATGAGGCGGGTGTAACCAGGACTGTGCTGGTGAGTGTTTGACAGTCATCTCTGAAGAAAAGAGCAGGGACCCTGCTTTCTAACTTCAGGCTCATTTAACAGTAGTCTATGGAATGCCATGAAATACAGTTTGGAAAAAGCACGGGTGGATCTCCTAAGCACCTGGTTAGACAGCTACAGCACAGCACTGATGTGTGGTCCCAGAACTGATTAACTAGCTTTATCGGTCCCTGATGATTGTTTCTGGGCTGTGAAAAGCCATGGTCTGTATTTTCAGTGATTCATTCTGTAAGCATCTGTAAGGACAATAGCTTACTTCTGAAAGTACCCTATAATTTGAAAATGTCCAAGTGCCGTGAAGGCTTGGAGAAGATGATAGTCTGTCCTGGTGTAGGGCTGTACAGGCACTGTGCTGCCTGCTGATGTGTGTGTAGGACTTGGGTTTGCATCCCACAGGGGAGCATGCACTTAGAAAGGGCCCCTGGCCTCCCACATTCCACTGCCCCAACCAGTCCTTCAATGGGCAGATCCTGCGTAGGTAGGAAAAGTAGGCAGGGCTTTTCTCTGACACCTTTTCTTCCAACTTAGGGCTCTGTTGCTCTTTCCAGTGAAGACTTCTGCCAAGAAGGTGCATCTAATATCTTGTCCATTCTGAATGTTTTATGCCTGTTGTTAGAATCCATTGTTTTGAAGTGTGTATGTGGCCAGCACCTAGACTTGTGGGGGCTAATGAAAACCGAATGTTTTGATTCAGATTTTTTGCAAAAAGAAAAAAAATCCTAGACAGAATGTTTTAATTGCTGATAAATATGTCTATTGGATTAATTTTTTAAGTCGGTTTGTGCTTCAGAATCTGCATCGTGTCATCTAAGCCACAGTCTACGGACTCCAGAAGCCTTGTGACTGACATTTGAGTCAGTGGCTTGAGGCAGCAAAGGTTGTAAACTAATGTTGCGTAGTGTTCCTAGAATGTGGTGAGGAGGGCCAGGTTTTTACAGACTTAGATGTTTCATATGTTCTAAGTAACATCTGCTTAGGGCTTTTACAGTTGTGCAGTGTACACAGGGTATAAGGTGCAAGGATAACGCTTCCCTCTGCGGCTTGATTTTTCATGCTCCAGGGGAAAGAAATACGTTCCTTGTAGTTTTGATCGTTTTCAGGAATGCTGTCTTTTATTATGTCTTGTCCACAAATTTATGCATGCCTTTCATGGTTCTTCTTTTAAAACTTCAGGATTTTGCAACCTATTTTTTTTTTTGTTTGTTTGAACTTGTACACCTTTCGTTTTGCCACATGCAGCCCTATCCCATTGTGTGACTGGCATCAGGATCGAGGGTTGGGTGTCTCTTTGCAGGAACATTTATATATGTGTATTTATATGTATGCATATATGTATATGTGTGTATATGCATATATATACTTATTTGAAAATTCTCGATTTTTGCCTGATAGGAAATGTTCAGTAAAACAGATAATTCTATTTTGAGGCTCACCAGCTATTTAAATGTTTTTGTATTCCCATCTTAGAAATTTTTCAGATCTCTCAAACCAACTATCTTTAAATACGTGGAAAATCCCAGCATTTAAATTAAACCACGAGACCATTCAGTGCACTCGCTGAGAGACTTTGGAAACCCATGTCCTAGTTTACACCTTACTCTTTTTGTCACCCTGCCTGTGACTCCTGCAGTTTCTCAGAGTGGCTTGAAGACGGTCTTCGAAGTTTGTCAGTATTATCTCCTCATTTACTGTAGCTTGGAATGAATCTTATA